AGGAAGGAAGGAAGGAAGGAAGGAAGGAAGGAAGGAAGGAAGGAAGGTTCAATTAGATAAAAATGGATAAAACAGATCTTACTGTCTGTCCTCTGACACATCTTGTGAAGCACAAGAACCATATAACTAAGTTAAATTGCCATTTTTTGGCATAAGAGTTTACACTGACACATTCCACTTTAAAAGATAAAACATAAAGAAGCTGTACAAAATCTGCCTGCAAATATTTTTCATATTCTAATTTATTTCTTTATCCAAACATTCAGAAATGCTTCCATCAGTCAGGCTATGCAACATGTAGCTCCTTACCTCCTATTTTGTAGTCCCCAAGTTCTACTACATCACAATTATCCTGCCAAAATATGGAAACTAAACTATCAGGGACATCTATGGGAGGAGAGTAAAATAAAATCTAGTTGTTGAATGAAATAATGATATCAAAGCCCCTATTTTTACGTATATGTGGTTCTGACTGTCACCTTAACAACACAATGTCTACTATGTCTGGATGTACCCAAAGACAATGGAGAGGAGCTCAAAGGATAAAATACTATATACTTTTTCTTTCTTCTGCTATGACCTCAGCACCACCTCAGCACCAAAGTGGCTCAGGTGTTTCAATCCCGTGCTGGGTTGGTAATTATACAGTATATTGCTCCAATTTGAAGAATTGATCAAAATCTAATGGTGTTTATCATTAGGAGACATAAAGTTATGAACAGCTTTATTTATTGAGGCCCTCTTCACAGGCTAATCCTGACAGAGTTCTGCAAGCAGCAGAAGATCCAGGTAATGAAGGAGGGGAGAGAGGGAAAATCACTCCATATTGAACTAGTCCTAGCTATGTAAAATAAATCACTATGACCTTCAAAAAAACAAAACAAAAATGTCTAAATACATAGTATTTATATATATTTGTGTGCTTGGATGCACTTTTGAAAATCACATTTACCTTTAAAAATGATTGTTAGTTGTTTTCTGTATTATTATTGTTTCATGAATAGAGAGCAGGGGTATAAATTAAATATAAATGTATATAGGTACAAATGAAAAATAAAAAAGACATGCAAACAATATAAAATACTGAAATGGAATATACTGTGTCCTCACATGATCTATATATCCTGGCTTTTAATCCTAGTAATAGTAATCACCTTGGAGATCTTGATGTACCTAAGTACTTGTGCCTGCAATATGAAACAAAGATGTGGTGATATAATAGCAATGATTGATATGCCTGTATAAATGGCACCTACTACGCAGGGAAAGACCTGCAATGCAAGCAAGTTTTAAGGGGAAAAAAATCCAAGTGCTTTCTGAGTTTTGTTTTACTCAAATCATATTGATATTTTTAATCTAAACATTGCATAAATATCACCGTCAGACAGAGCTAGCAAAGTTTTTATGTTGATGGTTGCACATGAGCCATGAGGAAGAGGACAGCTATGGTGGCTGGGGGTGGGTGGGTGGAGAAACTCCCTCAAACCAGTTGATCCACTTCTTTTCACCTGCTTTTTGTTTTCTTCCATGGTTTTAATCTGGCTTTAGCCTGCAAAGAGACAGAGCAAAGTTTATGGTTTGATTATTGACACAACAGGAGAAACGTTGAATAAATATGATGTCCTGCCATAAAGCCTTCTTCCTCTTTTGCAATTGCCATAGGCATTTTCTGAACTCAAAGAGGCAAAATGACGAGCCAGTCTCAGGGAATACAGCAGCTTCTCCAGGCAGAAAAACGGGCCAAAGATAAGCTTGAAGAAGCCAAAAAAAGTAAGTTGCGCAATATACTGGAATTCTGTTGAATCTCCAGAAAACTTTTGTCATATATATATAACTGCAGATAAATCACAATGGCATCAACAAGGATAATATATCTAAATGTTATTGTAGTTTGATCCCCGCCAAAAAATTGGGTTAATTTTTAAAATTGCCTCCAATGTCTTTTTCCAAACATTGTAATAATCTGGTGTCTAGTTTCAGAGCTGAATTAAAGTGAGTCAACAGTTATCCTTCTATTTCCTTATCGGAAATTATACTACAACCTACATTCTTTTCTGGTTTTCTAATCAGAATTGTGTCTTCCACTTTTGGGTTTATAATAGAGAGGCAGAATAGAATAGAATAGAATAGAATAGAATAGAATAGAATAGAATAGAATAGAATAGAAT